TTATATTGGGGGCTCTTTGGACCTTATTACCATGATAACGGCATAGAACCTACAACTTTTGATTTAGAGCAGAGCTCTTGGCTGAAAGGTACATTTTCTAATCCCTCTACCCCCCCCCCCACTATGTCAGTCAGGCATATGACTTTGCAGTCACATTCAAAACCAAACCATGGTCATCTTCATTGTGAAGGCAGCTGTGTTTTACTGGAAGAACAAACCAGAAGAAAGAAACTCATGCAGCATACTTCTAGGCTTATAAGATAACTTACATGCATCATATGAATAGGATACCTCTTTGTTTATTTAGCCAAGACTTGTCACTCCGAGTGTTAACGAGCTGGCAGTGCCCCTCCTCCACTTGGCATATCCTTACTATTACTGCTTCTGTCGTCAAAGAGGGAAACATATTCATTAATTAGATAGTTTTCCAATTGACTGTGGAACTCGGGGATGATGGTCAAATACAGAGTAAGCATTGTATGTGAATATGAGTAATTTATGTGTTGTCTTGAAAGAGATATAATCACCAGTATGTAGAGAAAGGCCTGCATATTTGTAATGCCAACATATCTGTATAAGTATGAAGTGATTATTTAAACAATTTTGATGTTTGAGGTTAAATTATAATACAATATTGCATTTACAATTAAAATTCTTTTTGGCACGTTAAAGTTGGGTGGACCTTTTTTGTGAATATTTTTTTCATTGATTTATCTGTTTCATATTGGAATTGGTGATAAAATATTGGAATGTTTATGTTGAGCTTGTCTGTGTTAGGTTTGACTGTGTTAGGTGTGACTGTGTTGGGTGTGATTGTGTTAAGCGTGACTGTGTTGGGCATGATTGTGTTAGGTGTGACTGTGTTAGGTGTGATTGTGTAACACATAATAGTCAAATACAAGATAACACTGTGAACGTTGGCATTGTGACTGGGATTATAGTACTGCAGTGTGGCTATGTGGTCAGTCCTGTGAAAATTGAATCCTTTTGTAAATTTGTATCAGCCAAAGTGCTAGCATGCTGTATGGGTTGGGTGATTTTATGAAGTCACAAGTTGGGTTTAGAGATTGCTTTATCTGAACCTCACAGCTGTTGTATCTTCCACATTCTCGAGTTTGATAAAGTATTGATGTTAATAACGTTCTGAACTGGTCCATGCTTTTAAAGTTGTTTTTATACACATCTTCCAATATATGGAATTCCTAAGTGTCATAATGTTGTAATTCAAATACATAAGAACAATGGGTGAGATCAATTAAGTTTGTAAGAAATTGCAGCAACAATTGTTTTGTAAGCTCACTTAAATGATATTTTTTATGTTAAGAAAACTTTTGATTACATGGACTTTTTCTGCTGTATGTGATAAGGCTTAAAGTTAATTTGACCCTATTTTTTCAGTTAAGACAATAAAAAGTGATAATATTTTAAAAAGAAAGCATGTATAAATAATGAGTCTTATGTACAATATATTGGGTCAGTATGTAAATGTATTTTTGAGAAAGGTGCAATATGCAGCATTGCATTTGTTTTCAGCCACATTTTTAAACTCTAAAAGTCCATCACAACCACCAAGCATCAGAGCTTTGATTTTATCTTTAAGATTTTATGCCCCATTTTAAATTCATTTGAATAGTTTCAACTCATGATCATTATTTTGGCTTTTGGTCCTTATGAGAGCCAAAATGAGAAAACTGTTAACAATTGTAAAGTGACCATATTTTAATTTGACTTGAATTTTTAAATATTAATTTGGTGAGATATATGGAATAAGTTGAATTAAATAAAAACAATGGGATTCTGTCATGCTCTAAAGCATACCAGTGCAAAAATAAGCATTGAACTACATATTTCTGTAAGAAATAAGTGTAATACTGAAGCTGCTCAAAAAAGCTTCTCTTATACTACTAAAGGATGTAGCTTGTTAGTTCAATAAATATGTGAAAGGTTAGTATTCTCTGTAACAAAGTCAACTGTTGTCAATCTCTGTTTTAACATATATTGTGTATTAAAGATTAAGATTTCATCCTTTGAAATGCTTGATCTTTTTTTTTAATGAAAATGTTCCTCAAACGGGGAAGAGCTGCACAATGTAAGACTGAAAAACTTTATGCAACATAAGGTTCTAGTGGCTCTACCGGTATGTATCTATAACTGCATATGGTGAATGTACAACTATCTCTGAGCAGAACTAGAATACTAGCTATTTTTTAAGATGGGTAAGGTAGCTTTTGGTAACAAGAGGAATATTCAAATCAGAAATGTTTGAAATAGAAAATAATAGATCATGACTCTGTTTTCATTGCCCTCAGTGAATGGCTATATAAAGGATAGGATTATTTAGAAAGGAGCAACAATGCACACTATGCTGTGTTTCTTTGTCTGAGTATAAGTGTTCCTCGAGTCTTAATGCTGTAACTCTGAACTCCTTAAATGGGTTTTTAAGTGTTGAATTTGATTGAAGTTAGTTATAAAACCATGCACACAGCTTTTTTATTTGAATCTGTGGAGAAGTTTTGTACACATCTTTATGCTTTTATCAATATGGGTAAGCCCATTTCTGAATAAAAGGAGAAAATTGTGATACTATCTCTTGTTGAGTTATTAAGCTTGTGGACAGAAATTAAATTGAGGAAGATTAAAAAATAATAAGACACATTGTAATTTTGTGCTTACAAAACATTTATTATTTATCACATTACCTATGCTTATAAGGGTTTTTGAGGCATAACATTAAAAAAAATCTAAAAACATAAAAATTTCCAAACAAGGCAGCAAAGCTGTCAAATGTACAGACAAAAAACAGAAAATAAAGATGCAAAATAGGTCATTTTGTCAATTTTGATGCAATAATAAATAATGCTTATAATAGCACTGTCAGTCAACACTGAATTTTAATCATGCACAACAGGTACCATGGTCAATAACAGGAGCGAACCCAGAGATATTCTCTGACAGTATTCCAAAGTATCTATGTTGATCCATCCTCCATTTTTATGGTCTTCCAACAGAAAAAAATAGATACCAGTCAATATAAACTTAATAACCTGACCGTCTTCCGGAAGACCCAGAAGATGGTCTCAATCCACCCCTTCAGTAAGATTACAGTTTCAGGACCATGAGAGTTCAAATTCTCATGATGAAAGTCTCAATATTTGAAAAATGATGACAGTGCATAAAATAATATTACATAATGTTTAAAGACATAAAAAACAATACAACTGCTTATGTGGAAATATAGAAAATGTGCAGAGCCTCAGGCAGATGAGAGTTAAAAGTCACAAATGCCAGTGTTTGAGAAAAAATTAAAA